CTATTAATAACATACCTATTTTAAACTAACGGGACAAACGGAACGAACGAATTAAGCAATAAAACATTATTTCCGGTGCTTTTGCTGCGAAAAGCAAAACGATTAAGCATTGCTATTGTACCTGGTAACGTAAATGCACAATACGAGCGTGCATTCGGGGTTGCAAAAAACCCCGGCGTTTTTGTTAATAAAGTTTTACTTACAAAAGTTTTATAACTTTTAAATATTAAAAAAAACCTTTAGCAACGGCCAAAATTAAAGCGGGGGCTTTAGAAGCAATTAAAAAGCAAACCAAAAAATTAATAAAAAAAGCAAATAATACGTACAAAAAGTATTATAACAAAAGCAGGACCCCGGTGCTTTTCGGGGTAAGCAATTAAGTATTGCTAAGTACGGCAAATATTAAAATAAAAAGGCCGTTAAAAAAGTTATCGAACAAATGGTTGAAACCTTTTTAAATTTTAAAAAATGGTTGGGTTAACCGGTTTGGCGTTCCGGTTAAAGCTTTCGGTAAATTACCGGATATATAACGTATTTCCGGCAAATTTATTGCGGGCGTTTAAAAAAAAGCCCGGCGAAAAATTAAAAAATAAAAAACCAAAAATCGAAAAAAAAAGGATTGCTTTAAAATAAAAGCTTTTTTAAAATATAAAAGGCTTTTGCGAAAACGAAAATACTTGGTTAAATAAATAAATTACAATAAATCGGAAAATTCGTAAATTCCAAAAAAGGATATTACAAAAAAAATTGTTTAAACGTATAAAGCAAATTTATTAAAAGCAAATTTACAAAATAAGGAAAATACCGAATTTTAACGGGTAAATATCCGGAAAAAACGGGGGTATTACAAAAAAAAATAACAAGGGCCAAAAGAAAGGCCCAAAAAAATATTTTAAACGTGCCGAACCGGTTAGCCACCGGGGAAAAACGTAAAAAAACCCGTAAGCGGCTTGTAATAACCGTAAAATATCGTACTTTATAAATAAAAAGTTAAATAAAGACGGTATAGTACGGGGAACGTTTTAAATTAATAGTGCAATACATTTAAATTCCAAAGGATATGCAAAGTGTAGCATACTTTAAAAAGCCCGTAAAAAGCATGCTTAGCGCAATACGGCAAAGCAATTACCGCATTTTAAACGTACGTTGTAGTAAAAAATAGCATTGCTTACCCGAAAAAAAATAGGAAAATTTCCGGATAGCATAGCGAACGGGCTTAAACATTTGGATAACGGCAAATGCATATCGGCAATATTTAAACTTATTAAAAAAGCGAAAAAAAAGCATTTTAAAATTATTTATTAAAGCATTAAAGCTTAGCTAGTAATTAAAAATACTGGGATTTTGCAATGTTGCAAAGGCAGCATAACGAAAAAAATTATGGTTTTAATTGTAATAAATTAACGAAAAAACTTAAAATTAACCACCTTTCGAAAAAGGGATACCAATAATTAATTAGGAAAATATATAAAAAAAATCGATTAAATGCCGTATTTAAAAAAACCAAAATTTCCGGAAATTACGTTTTTTTTGCCGGCGCTAAAATTATTGCCGCTAAAATCGTTAGCGCCAAAAGCGGCATTTTCCAGCGCCGATACAAACGCCGCACCCTTACGGAAAGCCGCGCGGTTGTAAGTTTAAATGTTCGAATGCGCCGCAATTATAACAAAGCTAACGGCAATGCTACCAAAAAAAGCAACCATACCTTTTTCAAAACGCTTAAAAAACGCTTTTACCTTGTTAAAACGGTTTTTGGTAGCAATTAAAGCTTAAATTTGCCTTTTTGTTTAAAAGGAAATGGTGCGAAAATATTGGAACATTTTTTAAATAGCTTTTAATGTTGCAATGCGGGCAATTTTGCGTTCGATGCGTTTTTAAACAACGGTTTAACGCTCGTAACGCGCAAATTATTTGGCCAATATGGTATAAAAGGATTTGGCTTTTTAAATAGCTTTGCAAGCGCGAAATTGGGCTTTGGTAAACTTTTCGAAAAATTCCGGTATTGCTTTAAAAAACCGTTCGTAAATAACGTTTAAAATTTTGTTAAAATTTTAAGCTATTTCCCAAAACCATTTGGAAAATTTAATATAAGCTTTATTGCTAACCACGTTTTTGCAATAAATGCATTTGGAAAACCCCGTAATATTATTAAAACATATTGGTATACGGGGGTTAACGGCATAGTTTTAATATGCTTAATAACTAAAACAACGGCTACAAAACACCGCACGCTCCGTATAATTATCTTTAAAAAAGGGCAAGCAAATAAGGTTATATTTATCGTTTTATTGGAAATTAAAAACCTTTTGCAACGGAAGCGCGTTGCAAATACCCATATAAAGCAAGGAAAAAGCAATATCCGTTTCGGGGGTAAATTTATAAAAATTGAAAGCGCCGCGGCAGCGTTCGTTGCGCGCTTTACGCTTTTTTCGGCGGGGGTTTTTTTACCGCAACGGTTAAAACCCGCCGGGAAGTTATTAGCAATACGTTTGTAAAAAATTTAAAAGGTTGCAAACGCAAAAGGGTTTAATAAACCCGCGGTATTTAAAAGGTTTACCGGAAAGTTACCGGCAAAGCGATTATAAAAAACCTAAAGGATTAGAAATTTAAGCAAATTCGAATTTAACGGCATTATAATAACCGGGAAAAATACCGGGGGGCTATTAGCAAAGCGCTAAACCGGGGCATAAAAAAGCAAAAGGCTAAAAAGGGCTTAGCGAACCGAAATGCTAAATTGGCCATAAGGGGCCGAAAAACCAAAAAAGGTTAACGGGTTAGCTAAAACCGGGAAATTAACGGGGGTTAACGGATTGGTTTAAACCAAAAAACCTAAAGCAAATACCCAAAGGAACAATACCTTTTTTACGTAATTAAATACAAAAAATAACATTTACAATTACCGGTTAAGTTTAAATGTTTAAAAAAAATGGCTAAATACCAATTACTTACGGTTACAATTATTAAAATTATTGGAATGGTTATTAAAAGCGCAAAAAAAAAGGAAAAGCCCGCGGCCGCGAAAAAAGAAAAAAAACCTTTTTATATACCGGCACGGACCCACTTTTCCAAATGTTATAAAGCTTTATAACCGGTTTTTTTAAGCGTTGCCGGGCATTAAAGCAGTTTAACGGAATACCGTAAGCTACCGGTTACTTACAAAATCGCACGCGCGGTACAAACGGTTTGGAACAAACCGTATCGGAAAAGGGCAATATATTAAAAGCACGGGCGAAACCGCTTAGCAAAAAGCAAAAAGCGTTAAAAAAACGGGCGAAACCGCCCGGTAAAAAAGGAAAAAAAGGGCGCTAGCAATTAACCGGGCACGAATTTTCCCGAAAATATGCCGGCAAGCTACCGGTATTGCGGCTAAAGCATAATAGCAAAGCTAAAAAATAAAATAAAGCTTAAATTGCACAAAAGCGCTTGGAGCGCGGAAAATTTAAAAAACCGACCCCGGGTGCCCGAAAGGGCACAAAGGAAAGGGAAGTTAAAAAAGGAACAATTTTTGTTGGCAATAGCACTTTTAGTAAAAAATTTACGGAAGCTTAACAAAGGAAACACCGCATCCGGCCCGTAACCCGGTAACCACCCGCTTCTGCACCGATTAACCCTTAACATAACGTTACGCTATTTACAAATTTTACCAAAAATAATACCCAATTTTATTAAAAAGCACAAAAATAAATTGCTTTCGAACAATTTAAAAGCGCAATTTTACGGAAACCAATATTAATTATTTTAAACCTTAACAAACCGTTCGAAATCGAAATTAACGCGTTAAATTACGCGATTGGAAAATAATTGGGTTAACAAAATAAATAAAAAAAGCTGCATTTTTGCGTTTTGTTTTACAAAAATTTAAAAAATTTAAATTAAATTACCAAATCCATATATATATAAATTTATTTACCCTTTTCGAGCTATATAGCCCATGGGAAGCATTACGGATCGGGGTAGCTATTTAAAGGTAAAAACCGTGCTTCTAGCCAATAGCTATTTAGTGTAAAGCCGGGTAAAAATTCCTTCCTTTCGAAATATTTTTTATTTCGCGTCGTTTTTGTAAGTAATTATTTGTAAAGTATTTTCCGCATTTCCAAACGTTTGGTAAAAAAAAAAATTATTATTATTCGAAATAAAGTATTGTGGTTTAATTAAAAGTTAATTTATTCGTTGCATTTAAATTGCGTTATTAAATGCACGTTTCCGTACTAATTTAAAGCTTTCCCGTTGCTTTTTCCTTTTTTATTAATTTTAGTAAATGGGTTAATATATTGCGGCTTTTTTTGCCTTTTTTTTTCCAATCCTTTACGCAATTTTACTAAAAAACATTACTAGCAATTGCAAAATAACAATAATAATAACCGTTATAAATCCTCCCTTTTTAATTTCCGTTACTTTGCAGCCCATTTAACGTTTAATCGTAAAACCGTACATTTTTAACGCTTTGCTAATATTTCGCTTCGGTTTTTCGCGGTTTGCAATTGCATTATAACGCTTAAAAAAAAAGGTAGCACGAAAAGGCTTGTTTTATTTCCTTTTAAAGTAACGGGCAATTTAAAAAGCGCAAAGCCCGTTATTTATATGTAATTTTTTTTACATTTTTGCAATTTCCCGTTAATTTATCCTAATGTTTTTAACGGTTTAACCAATTGCATTACGTGCATACGTATAATAGCCCGCAAAATTAACCTTAACAAAGCTTATATGCAAAATTTTAATAAATCCTTTTCGTTGTTTTTTTAATTTTATTTTTTTAAATATTTTGTTAATAAATTGCTTTGGTTTAAATTCCAAATCGAAAAAATGTATATATTGTTATTTAAAAAAAAAAGCTAGCAAAAACGAATAATACACCTTTGCGTTAAAAAAAAGCGTTTCGGAATCGGGCTAACGTATGTTTAGCGCTACGGAAAAGTTTAAATTTGTAAATTTTGCTTTTAATGCTAACAATAGCTTTACAAACCGCAAAAAACATTACGCTTAAGCGTTTAACTTTACAAGCAAAGTAAAAGTTGTAAATTTTTTTTTGCTTTATCGTATTTTTTACGTTTCCAGTACGTTGCTAATATTTTAAATAAAATTGGAAAGCTTGGCTTTTTTAATATAAACGCCGCGCTTACGCCAAATTTAAAGCCGTTTGCAAAGCGTACTTTCCAAACAATACCCCGGCCCCGGTAAAATTTTCCCGTTATTTTGCGGAAAACCCCGAAATTAAAGCTCGCCGCAATATTACTATTGCTAACATTTTTATTAAAATGTTTTTCGTATTTAATATTGCTTTTAATTATTTTTAAATTAAACGTAGCGGGTTTAGCGATTTTACGTTAATAAATTGCGTTAAAATTTACGCGCAAAATATTTAATTTCGTTAAAATATTTACGCTTAACTTTACAATAACGTTACCAAATTTTTCGATTATTATAATAAATATTTCGAAAGGGTTACCCCCGCCGATTTTTCGCAAATTGGTAGCGGCAACGGTAACGGTAAAAATAATAAGGTAACGGATAACTTTTTTTCGGTAATTGGTGGTTCCGCGGTTAAGCTTAAAAAAAAGGACGATGCGGCTGGTTTTTAGCCTATTAACAAATTTGGTTAAGGTAAGGTTGCGGGTCCAGCCGGGGTCGCTGCGGCGGCAACGGGGGCGGTAAAGGGGGTGTTGGCGGCGCCCGGGGTGGCGATTGAAGAGGCAGCCGCTGCTGCACTCCCTCCCCCCTCCCAGTTACCAAATCCATAATAAAAAGCTTTTTGCTATTATTAAAGCTTTAAAAAAATGGAAAGTGTATTTGTATAAAGCAAATTACCAAATTACGGTATATACTAATTATAAAAATTTAACGCATTTTATTACAAACCAAAACTTTAACAAACGTTAAATCCGTTAGAATTAATATTTTTAAAATTACGATTTCCAAATTTTGTACCGAAAAGGATTAAAAAACGGAAAAGCAAACGCTTTAAGCAAAAAACGCAATTACAAAATTGCTACTTCAAAAAAAACCAAAACGCTTTTGGTTTACAAACTAAAAAAGCGTTGGTTTTAACCCAACAAGCAATAACTTTAATTATTAAAAAACAAAATTAAACCCCAAAAGTTTTTTTGGAAATTTACGGGTTATTAACCCATAACCATTTAAAAGTTACCAAAACGTGGAAAAAATTCCAACAACATTACAAATTTACCGAAATTTAAATAGCAATATTAAAAATAATAAAGGATTGCTAAGTATGCGCTAAAAATAAGCCCAACCAATATTTTTTTTATAAATTGCTTTAACCATTGCTAACATTTAACGGGGCATAGCAAAAAATTATTATAAATTTTATCGTTAAGCTTTTTAAATTTAAAAAGCTTTTAACGGAAATATAATATAATAGCATATTGGTAATAATAAATAAGCTTACAAAATATGCTTTGTATTTATTTTACAAAAAAAGCAGCAACGCGCTAACTTTGGCTTACGCTTTTTTCCGGCACGTAATAGCAAATTATAAAATGCCGCAAAAACTAATTACGAATTAAAACAAGCTATTTACAAGCAAATTTTGGAAAACGTTTACGGCGCTTTTTAAAGCAAAATACGCTTTGTTAATAGCGTATTACCTTTAAACAAACGAACAAACAAAACGAACCAACAAAACGATAAAGCGATATTTGCGCTATTACGTTAGCTACAAACAAAATAATTGGGTTTAATTGTTATTAATTGCTTAATTTGCTTACAATAATTTTATGTATAAAAGTATAGGAAAAATACCGTTTTACGCCAATTATATATATACTTTTACGGCGTATAACGAACCCCGGGTCGGATTTAAAACCTTAATAACGGAAATCCAAATAACAAAACTTATTAAGCTATACCAAAACCTTTAAAACAAATTAAAAACTTTGCGCTATTGGATAGCAAAGCAAGCTAATAAAAAAAAATCGAAAAACCAACCTTTAAAAAAAGGAATAACGCTTACCTTTTACGCGCTAATACTAAAATAAAAAGGCCAAGCAATAAGTTGGATAGGAAAAAATGGGGACCTTTTTGGGTTATTCGTATTATTTTTCCAATTAATTATAAATTTTAGCTATTACCAACCATGCGCATCCACCCGGTTTTTTACGTTTTTTTGCTGGAATTAGCGCTTTCGGGCTTTAAAAGCACCGAATTAATAAAAGTTAACCCTAACCAAAAGTGGGAAATCGATGCTATTTTTAACGAAAAAACGCATTGTTGCAAAAAGCAATATTTCGTTAAATGGAAAGGTTGGGAAAATAAGCACAATACGTGGGAAAATGCAACAAATTTTGGAAATTACCAAAAGGTTTTGCAAAAGTATCATTTGGGAAAAAATTAGCAATAAAATATTAAAAAAGCGCTTATTTAACGCTTTAAATTTGGAAAGATTTAGTAAGCAAAAAAAAAGGAATTAATAGCATATCCAAAGGATAAGCTAGCAAGCTTAAGCAAAAAAAAAAAATACAAACCAAAGCTTACCCCTGCAAAGCGGGCGAAAATTTTGGCTTAAACGGTTGTACCAAAAGTTAAACCCAAAACTTTCCGCTACAAAAGCAAATGCGCTACCACTGCGCTATACAACCTGTAAAAAGCTATTATATAAATTTATTTACCCCTTTCGAGCTGTATAGCCCATGGGGAGCACTACGGATCGGGGTAGCTATTTAAAAGTAAAAACCGTGCTTCCAACCGATAGCTATTTGGTGTAAAACCGGGTAAAAACTCTTTCCTTTCGAAGTATTTTTTATTCCGCGTTATTTTTGTAAGTAATTGTTTGTAAAATGTTTTTTGTATTTCCAAACGTTCGGTAAAAAAAAAATTGTTATTGTTCGAAGCGAAATATTGTGGTTTGGTTGGAAATTGGTTCGTTCGTTGCATTTAAATCGCGTTATTAAGTGCACGTTTCCGTGCCAATTTAAAGCTTTTCCATCGCTTTTTCCTTTTTTATTAACTTTAACAAATGGGTTAATATATCGCGGCTTTTTCCGTTTTTTTTTTTCCAATCCTTTACGCAATTTTACCAAAAAAACATTACTAACGATTGCAAAATAGCAATAGCAATAACCGTTGTAAATTTTCCTTTTTTAACTTTTGCTATTTCGCAACCCATTTAACGTTTAATTGTAAAACCGTACATTTTTAACGTTTTGTTAATATTTCGTTTTAATTTCCCGCAATTCGCAATTGCATTATAACGCCCAAAAAAAAAGGTAATACGAAAAGGTTTGCTTTATTTTTTTTCGAAATAACGGGCAATTCCAAAAAGCGCAAAGCTTGTTATTTGTATATGGTTTTTTTTATATTTTTACAATTTTTCGCTAACCCATTCCAATGTTTTTAGCGATTTAACCAATTGCATTACGTGCATGCGTATAATGGCCCGCAAAATTAACTTTAATAAAGCTTATATGCAAAATTTTAATAAATCCTTTTCGTTATTTTTTTTAATTTTATTTTTCCAAATATTTTGTTAATAAATTGTTTTAATTTAAATTTTAAATCGAAAAAATGTATATATTGCTATTCGAAAAAAAAAGCTAGCAAAAACGGATAATGCACCTTTGCGCTAAAAAAAGGCGTTTCGGAATTGGGCTAACGTATATTTAACGCCGCAAAAAAGCTTAAATCCGTAAATTTTGCTTTTATTACCGATAATAATTTTACAAACCGTAAAAAGCATTACGTTTAAACGTTTAACTTTACGGGCAAAATAAAAATTGTAAATTTTTTTTTTGCTTTATCGTATTCCTTACGTTTTCGGTGCGTTATTAATACTTTGGATAGGATTGGAAAGTTTAATTTTTTTAATACGAACGCCGCGCTTACGCTAAATTTAAAACCGTTTGCAAAGCGTATTTCCCGGACAATACCCCGGCCCCGGTAAAGCTTTTCCGTTATTTTGCGGAAAATTCCAAAATTAAAATTCGCCGCAATATTATTATTGCTAACATTTTTATTAAAATGTTTTTTGTATTCGATATCGCTTTTAATTACTTTTAAATTAAACGTAACGGTGTTAGGGGTTAATCGGTGCAAAAGCGGGTGGTTACCGGGTTACGGGCCGGATGCGGTGTTTTTTTTGTTAGGCTTTCGTAAATCTCCTACCAAAGGTGCTATCGCCAACAAAAATTGTTCCTTTTTTAACTTCCCCTTCCTTCGTGCCCTTTCGGGCACCCGGGGTCGGTCCTTTAAATCTTTCGCGCTTTAAGCGCTTTCGTGCAATTTAAGCTTTACCCTATTTTTTAGCTTCGCTATTATGCTTTGGCCGCGATACCGATAGCTCGCCGGCATGTCCTTAGGGGGTCCGCGCCCGGCTAGCTGCCAGCGCCCCCTTCCTTTTTTTTTACCGAACGGTTTCGCCCGTGCATTTAACGCTCCCCGCTTTTTGCCGGGCGGTTTCGCCCGTGCTCCTAACAAACGGGCTTAATAATCTTACGTTAATAAATTGCATTAAGGTTTATACGCGAAACGTTCGATTTTATTAAAATATTTACGTTTAATTTTACAATAACGTTACCGAATTTTTTAATTGTTATAACGAATATTTCGAAAAGGTTACCCCCGCCGATTTTTTGCAAATTAATAACGGCAACGGTAACGGTAAAAATAATAAAGTAACGGATAATTCTTTTTCGGTAATTGGTAATTCCATAGTTAAATTTAAAAAAAAAACGATGCGGTTAATTTTTAGCTTATTAACAAATTTGGTTAAAATAAAGTTACGGGTTTAGCCGGGGTTGTTGCAACGGTAACGGGGGCGGTAAAAAGGGTATCGGCGGCGCCCGGGGTAACAATTAAAAAAGCAGCCATTATTGCATTCCCTCCCTTTTTCCAAGCGCTTCCCCGCAACCTTAACAAATCCAATTTCGGTTTTAAGGATAAAAGCAATAACATAATTATTTAAATGCTATATACCCGGCGGTTCGGATTTTTTATATTTAAAATTTTAAAAACAGTTTGCGGCAACCCGCTTTTACGGGCGTAAATAAATCCTTGCTTTTTGGCGTTAAAATAAAAGGTTGCGTTATTTTGCTTATTAATATATAATGTTATTAATAATTAATAAAATTGTTGGAAGGTTTTTTCGATAAAGTTTAATGTGGGTTTGGCTTTTTAAAACCGGGGCGGTTAGGCCTTTTATTTCCTTTCCAAATTCGCCGCTTCGTTATAGCGTTTAACGTTTTTTTTTTTTTTTCCGCTTTTTCCGCTTACGTATCGATAATATCGTTCGATAAAGCGTAGCTAAAAAGCCGCTTTATTTTTATAAACCATTTTGTAACGATTGCTGCTTCGTTTGGCTAATTTAGCAAAAATTTTGCCGCTTTTTTTATTGCTTAAAAATTTTTTTTTTTGTTTTTGCAAATTTGGGCAATGTAGCAATACGTATGCTACCGTTTCCGGGTTTTAACCGCATTAATACGTTGCGGTTACGCCGGGAACTTTCCGGAAAGTTAAATAACCCCGAAACCTTAACCTTTCCGTTTTTAACTAAACCAATAACAAGCTTTGGGTTTTATAAAGGTTGCGGTAAAGGTTTAAAATTTTTTTATCGGGTTGCTTTTTATTGGTTTTAACGCTTTTTTTGGTTGCCGTAACGTGGTTATATTACTTTTCCTTCCATTTTTTTAGCACCGCTATTTCCGGGTTCGATTTTTTAATTTAATTTAGCGTTTTTTCCCGTTAACGAAATAGCCGCGTAATTGCAACCGTAAGCTTTTGCTTTTTATTTTTTAATTTCCATTGCACCTTTTTGTAAATATTTGCAATTTTTTCCGTTAAACCGCCTTTTTTTAATTTTTTTTCGAAATGGGCAATGCAATTATTTAGCCATATTTAAATCGGGGCTATATGCGTTTTTAATTCCAACAATTTCCATAAAAATTTTTTGTAAGCCCCCGTTATTATTTTTAAGCAATTGTTTTACGTTTTTGCCCACGCTTTAACCATTTTTTTGGGCCGCAACGGGGTAACGTTAAATTTATAGTAAACCGGGGCCGCGTAGCTTAATGTTGCTTTAATTACGGCCAGGTACAAGTATTTGGTTTTGGTAAACGTGGGTTTTTACGTTATTGCTGCTAAACGCGTAATAAATAGCATTTGGGTTGCTATTTTTTCGCGCATTTTTTAAATATATTAAATCCAATCCAATTTGGAATTAATCCAAAAGCTTAATATTTGCATTGCTTTTTTTATTGTTTTTGGTTTTACCGTAACCTTTTCGAAATGGAAAGGTAACGTTAGCGCGGGTTTTTTCCTTTTTATTAACCAAATTAATTAATATTTAACCGGGTCGAATTTCGCTCCAAATCTTTTTGTTTATTCCAAGCATACGTTGTAAACGGTTTTAAATTTATTAATTGCATTTATTGCGTTGCGGTTAAAACTAATTAAATTGGTATTATTTGTAAATCCCGTAACCGCAACCCCTTTTACTTTCCGTAACTTTTTGTATAAGCTTACCGTATAAATAATAAAAAGGATGGGTAATATCGGGAACTTTTGCAAAATTCCGCATGGAATTTTATTTTTTGCCGTATTTTTGCCGTTAAAAAAAAGTATTATTTTTTAATTGCTTAAAAAGTTTTTAAAAAAATCCAAAATTTATTATAAAAATTAATATTTTTTATTTCGTTAAAAAGGCGTATATGCAATACGGTATCGAAAGCGCCGCTTATATTAAATAATAAAAAACCAATTACCGCTTTTGCGTTCCAAACCGTATTTACCACTTTTGTAAATAAACGCATAGCCGTTTTTGTGGATTTGCATTATCGATTGCTTATTTATTTATTAAAAAATAATTAATAATTTTTTGCGGTATTTTTAATGCAAAACGCTAAAATTTTTTCCAACGTTTTTTTTATTGTTTTTAAAAAGGTAATTGGTTTTTACGCGCTTAAAATGTTTGGGTTTTTATTGGGTTTTTGGAAAATAATGGTGCGAAATTTCCGGAACCTTTCCGGAAAATAACCGCGGTTTACGTATGCCGTAAACATTTCCGCCAATATTTTAAAACGTGCCGGTTTTATTGCTAACAATTTCCCGGTAAAAATTCCCGTTAGGCTTAAAGCTTTTTAATATTTTGTATTTTAAAAAGTTTTTTTTACGTTTTTTGCGGTAATTTTTTTGCAAACAAGCAAAGGTTAAAAAGGTGGTTTGGGGTATTTGGGGATATCGGTAATGTCCGCCGTTAATATAAAAAAAAATTTCCTTTTTAAAGCTGCTTTTTTCGCTTTTTTTGTTGCCGTTACCTTTTTATTTGGTAATTTTAACAACGGGAATAACGGGGGGGGAAAAGGTTGGTAGCTTTTGTATTTTGCTTATTTGGCAATAGTTTACATGCTTTTGGCGTTTTATATAATGCTTGCTTTGTGCATTGCGGTACGTTACGTATACCTTTTCGTTACTTTAATAGCGCTTTTCTTTTTTTTGGTAGCTTTTTTATTATTGCGTAATTAGTTTCCGAACGGTTTGCTTTTTACGTTAATTCGGCCCGGTATTTATTGCAAAATAATTAAAAAAATTCCTTCGTTTATTAATTACAATTTCCGGCCTTTCCTTTTAGCTTTGGTACGGTTAGGTTGCAAATTTTTAATATTGCTTTTGTAATATCGTTTATTTTTTTATTAATTACTTAAAGGTTAATAAATGGTTGTAACAAAAGGAAAATTTTATTGTTCGTTAAGGATTTAGCAAATTTTTTATCGATTTTTTTCCAATTTTAGCCTTTTAAAGCTAATGCGTAAAGGTTCGAAATGGTTTTTAAAATCGTAATTATTATTCCCGTATAATTGCTGCCATTTTAACGCTATTTTAATAGCTATTGGGTTTTTAACTTTCCGGTAGCCCAAATTAAATTAATAATGGTATTTTTGCAATAGGTGGCGAACTTTATCGCCGCGTTTCGGCGAATTATTAATTGCATGCTTTATAGCTTTGCTAAACCAACCAATTTAAAAGCTTTTGCGTGCATCGGTGCGTTTTTTAAACGCTTTAACATCCATGCTTTATAATAAAAATTAAAATCCTTTACCATTAAGCTATTGCTTTTCGGTTCCTTTTTAGCAAGTTTGTCGATAAGTATTATCCAATTTGTAATGGTTATGCTTCCCGGAAACGGGGAGTAAACCGACCAAATCGTTATATTTTCGTTTTGGGTACCAATTGTAACTTTATACCAATTCGGTTTTGCTTCGTAATTTAAAATACGTAGCGTTAATTTAATATAAATAATCGCTTTAATAATAAAGGAAAAAGGAAAAGCAAGCTGTAATAATGGGAAAAAAAAAGCGCGTTGCCTTTTTTTTAGCGGTTTTAAAGGGATCCCGGTAAGTTGCCGTATGGTTGTTACGGGGTAAAGTCGTATATATATTAAATTAGTTTTTTCCCAGCCCACAACGGGAATTTAACGTTCCCTTTCAAATCCTTTGGTAATTCCTATATTGCCAATACGTTAAAATTGCTTCCTTTCGCTAATAATGCATTAAATACTTCCGGTTTTTTCGCTACATTCCATTAAAAAACTTTAAGCATTGGTTTTTTCGTTAAAAAGGTTTTTTTTTGCTTTTGGGGAAGGCGGTAACGTTAACGCTTTTTTTTTATATAATTAAATGCTAAAGGATTATATATTACTAAATAATTGGAAAAGGGTAAAGCTTTTTTGGCTAGCTTTTTTTGTTATTTCCCGTAGCGGTAAAAGGAACGCGGGTATTGCCGGGGAAATGGGTTTCGTTAAAGGGTTTGCGGGGGGGGTGCAAAGGGGAAAAGGTTTTAAAATGCGTAAACCCTGGTTTTTTACAAATAGCGTAATAATTACGTTCCTTCGTTTTGCCGTATAAAATTTCCTAAACCTTTCTATAAATTGTTTGGCCGATTTTAAAAAATTCCTTTTCCGTTTTGTGGGTAAAATTAGTTAAAAAAAAAGTAATTTTAATTTTGCATTAATTTCGTTGCGTATAAAGGTTTTTTTGGTTGGCGGGGTTGTATTTCGGGTTGTTATTGGTATTTAAAGGGAAATTGCTGCAAAAGGGCTATTGCTTTTTTTTGCTTAATTGGTTCCTTTTTGCTCCCGTATAAAAGCTGCTTTTTCCCGGGGTAAAAAAGGGGATTTTGCCCGCCCCGCTTCCGGCAACAATCCAATTTGCAACAATTTTAAAGTAAAGGTTATTGGGATTTCGTAATGGGTAAGCTTTGTAAACCAGGCTTTTTTTTTGCGTTATTGGGTTTGCTTTTATATCGGGCAATGTAAAAAGTAAAATGGGTATTTAACTTTGTTGTACGAAATATAAAATGCCCCGGATATATTTTTTAACGATTTTTTTGTTGCTTTTTTTTTTTTTTACACCGTTTATCGTTGTATTTTTTTAATTTATATTACGCATACGTTATAATTTGTTTGTATTGCATGCTTTTATATTTTTAATTTAAATAGCGGTAACATTGCGCCGTAATTAATTTGGGGTTAAAAGGTTAGCATTGGTATGCCAACCCATTCCATCGGAAATAATTTTTTTGCAAATTTATTGCGCTTTTTAAGCTTGCAATTTAAAGCAACGCCGTTATTTTTTTTTGTTACTTTTTTTTTTCCATAACGAAACGGTAACCCGTTTAATGTTTCCATGCGGGTTTTTGGCGTTAAATGCTTTTACCAATTTTAACCAATATTCCGCTTTATTTTTATTATTAAAAAAAGGTTAAAGTTTGCTAGCTAATAAACCCGTTATTATTAAAGCTATTGTTAATTTAGTAACTTTTAAGCCGTTCGTTTGTCCGGTTGTATCCTAAACCGCAAAAAGCGCATATTACGTCCGTAGCCGGTTCGTTGCGGCGGGGTTACCGTAATTATTCGCAACTCTTTTTATGCTTTTGCTTATATCGTTCGTTCCCGGCCCGGGCCGGTATTTTTTTCCGTTTATTAACAAATGCTAGCATTTTGGAAATGCAAACGAACGTTTTCCAACGGGTACTAATAAACCGCTTTAATTTAGCCTTTACCCAATTTTTTATTGCAAATTCGCTTAATTTTTTCGGGTTTTATTTTTTAATTTTTTATTTCCGGTAACAATAAAGATTTTATTATTAATCGTAAATGCTATTGCTTTTTTAGCTTTTATTATTTGGGGTGTTTTAAAAGCGGTTTACGCTTTTGCGGTTATTTAAGCCCAAATTTATTTTCCACCTTTTCCGTTTGCGGCCGCCGTTTGTTACGCTTGGTCCTTTTTTTTAATATGGTTTTAATTCGTTCGAAAAATTGAAAAATTGTTTGGGTTGCGTTAAAATTAATTATTAAAATTATTAAAATTGCGGTTATTTAATCGATTGCTTTAACGTATTAAACGAATTTCGCAATAATTTCGGCGGCCGTAATTTTTCTTTTTTTTTATTAAGCAATTAAAAATATTTTTTTGCAAATTGCATCGTTACAATAATTAATTGGGTTTTTTTCGGGTTTGCAATTAGTTTTTATCGTAATTGTTCCTGGTTTGGGTAATTCCCGTTACGTATTGCGTATTTCGATTGGTTAAGGTCAATGGCTTTTTCCATTAACGTTGCAACAGCGCTTTGGGGTATTATCGAGTTCGTTTAGCCCTTAAACAAATTGGCGTTTCCGGTTTTCGTAATGGCTTTAGTTTTTTTGTATGTCGTCGTCGTTGTTGCGCGCAAGCAAAAAACGTTTTTTTTTAAAACAAATCTTTTTTTCTTTTTTGTAAAAAGCTATTAAAAATTACAATTTACCAAATTAAAAAATAAAAAGCAAGTTAAAGTTAATACCAAACCCTTACCAAACCAAAAATTAGCAAAATAATTTAACGAGTTAAAGCAAAAAAAAAGGGAATTTAAAATTTCCCCCCCTTTTACGAACAAAAAAAAATTTGAATCGAAAGCTGCATTAAAAATTAAATTTAAAACTTTTTGCTGTAAAAGCAAATGCGTTACCATTGCGTTATATAACCGGGAAAAATTGTTAAAAAATTATAATTTACCCGGTTAAAAAAAGGAAAATAAGTTAAAGTTAAAGTTAACCTTTAACGCTGCTTAGCTAAAAAAAAACCGCTAAAAAGCCGGGCGAAAAAAAAGGCTCGGTTTCCGTTACAATGGCGTAACGAATAGCCTTTTTTTGCTTTACCCGTTCCAATTCCTTTACGTTATTAATTTTATAACGGATAGCACGGGAAAGTTTTTCTCGTTATTGTTTTTTTTGCTTACGCAAACGGTTAATTTTAGCAAAAAAAGCCCGTAGCTTTTTTTCAGCCGCTTCCAATTTGGCTTTACAACGGTTATGCTAAGCGTTGTAAACCCGAAAATGTTTAAAAGCAAAGCCCAAAATGTTGCAACGAAAACGCCTTTAACGAACGCACCGCTTATAGCAAACGTAATTACCAAAAAATGCTTTGCAACGAAAAAAACCGTTGGCTTTGCAATTTAAGCAAAAAAGCATAAAAATAAAAAAGCAAAGGATAAAAAAAAAAGGTTATTCCAACGAAAAATTGGAAAACCGAATTTGCGCTTTTGGATTTGCCTAAACATTTTGTTAAAAAAAAATGGTTAAATAGTAAAAAAAAAATATTTACGATTAACAAAAAGGCGGGAAGGATAGTAATACGTAACCAACGGGTTTTGGCTATTAAAAAGGAAATTTAATGTTACGACCCAGCAATAAAGCTATTACCAAACCACAAAAGGAAGCATAAAGGAAAGCTCCAAACGGGGTTAACCTTTGGTTACGTAACCTTAGCAAATAATATAACAAAGGACAATATATTAAGTAACGAAGATAATATAAAGGATATAAACATATCTTACATATTAACCCGTTAAGGAAAAACGCTTGGGGTATAAAAAGGAACGGTTTTTTATTGTTTTAAGTAATTTTTAATAAATGCACTGGCATTAATTAAACTTTAGTTAGCTTCCAAGTAACCCTTGGGGCAAGCATTCAAACCGCACCCAAGTTACTTTGTAAATCCCTTTCGTTTGTTGAATTACGTGCTACTGTTCGATACTCCTTTGGTGCTTTACCTTAGGAGCAGAAGCCTAACTGTAACACTTAGTAACCACCCGCCCCTGCACAAATTAACCTTTAACAGCTTTAAAAAGAAACGCGTTCGAAAGCAAAAAAGAGTTTTTATTTACATATAAATTAAAAATATACAAAATTAATATAGTTAAAGTAAATGCAATTAAAGCGCGCGGAAATGCAGGAAAAAGTATAAAATAAAATGCGGAAAAATAAACGCAAAATTATATTACGCGCAAGCGTACAAAATGGTTTAAAGGGTTAAATTAAAAATACCGCAATATTTTGAAATAATTAAAAAATGTATAAATTAAAGCGTAGTAATAAAAGTAGTAATTACAGTTATATAATGGTAAGAAAGCTACAAACCGGAAGTACGGGTTTTAAAAGCCGGCAACGAAACTTACGCATTTACCTTTTTTACAACCTTGCAACGGGCTGTACGCTAATTAGCCGAAATAACGCATAAATTTATTTGTTTTAACGAGCAAGTGCGCTTTACTTTAAAATGTAAGTAATGTCCAACGATTTTTTAGTTTAACTTTTAAGCCGTCCGAAAAAAGCGAATTAAATAGCGTTTCCTGCCTAAAACTAAATAACTTAGGAATTATTCCCGCTGCCGGAACGATAGCGTTCTGGAAAAGGGAAAGTATAAAGGGTTTAACAAAGAAACGGTTAAACCACTGCTACAAAAAGTGCTCGAGCTACAAGCACGGGCTTCCCCGCAGGAACCTATGGGCTTAAAGCCGCAAGGGCCCGTTACGTAATAAAAGCCAAAAAGGCTATGGTTTAAAGCTAGCTTGTGGGAGGCAATTTATGCAATTTTTTCCTTAAGCTAAAGTTATCGTTTTTAACTTATAGTAATATAGGATTTTAAACCCAATTAAACTCTTTGCTTTATCGTAATTACTTCGTACGGCCTTTAGCTTAACCCCGTAATATTTTTTATTATTTTTAGGTATTGGTTAGTTAAACTAGTAACTAAAACTAACTAAACTAATTTAGTTACGATTGAAACAAATGACTAACGATTAAATTCCTAACCCTGTATACTAAAGGGGTTTGGCGCCAGCTTTTGCTACTGCATAAAACTCTTGGCGGCAGGCTTTTCGTTCTTGGACATAACACCAGCTGGGGACGGGGTGTTGAAATGAGAGCACGGGTGATACTAGGTTGTTACTCATGTATATAAGACTAGGACTCCCACCTCACTCAGGATAGAAACAAGCAATGCAAGGAATCTTGAACCATGCCTAGTATATTCCAATAGTGGGCGGCCTCCTCAAAACCTACAACTTTTACAAAACCTCCATAGCGTTCCCGAGGAAATCATGGAGCTGGTCGGCGACGTCGAGGCCGCAAAGTTAATCATCAAGAAGATATAGAAGAACATAAGCTCGAACCCAAGCGCCCGACTTGGCGACGACGCCGTTTCGAGCAATATGGAGAGCGCCCTGCACTGCCTCAAGACCGTCGGGGCCTTCGCCGACAAACACCAAGAGAGGATGGCGAAAAGGGGCGCCTTTATCGGGAGAGTCTTTTACACGTGGAAGAAGGAGGACATATTGAGTTAGCGGGAGGTGTTAAAGGACAGGATATTTTACCTGGATTTAATCCACAAGTTTTTGGCGAACTCATCCAGGTACGTAAAGCCCCACCGCAAAAGTCTGGATACAAACGCAATTTCCCACCAAAACTTACAATTCTCGAATGCAAATAAAATAGCAAAATAAAATCGTAAAAATATATAATAAAATCAATTTCTGTAATATTTTACAAAATCTCTAACATATATTTTTTCTGGATTTTTTTAGCTTATCGTAAGCTTGTAAAAAGTTTGTTTAATTTGGAACTTTAAAATGCATGCGCTATAACTGGATTTAGCATCCCCTAAAGAGCGTTGTAACGACTTTTTTTGCATTGGGGTAATTTTCCACGCGCAATAATGTACGTTTTCAGCATCTGGACAAACTAATTTTTAATATATATTATAATAACGATTCCAAATTATTACTTTTACTTTAAGCTTTTATTTTAACATTTTTGTTCGATTTGATATAGCGGTTGGAATGTGTTGACTTTTGTATGTAATTTGGTAACGTGTATTCAGACTTTTGCTGTGGGACGGTATCACTCTTTTTTCTATCCATTCCCCGATGAATGATTATTCCCATTTGACGCAAATGGCTAACTGCTACTATAACCCTCAGTGGCGAGACCTTAGAACAACTGCCGCCGGTCCCGGTCCGACGTCATGCGCTAGTGTTGAGCTCAGACTAGCCGATGAAGGATCTCTTTTCCTTGCAGCCAGCGCTCAACGTTCTCCGCAGTCTCGGCGTACCAGGTGTTCATTAGCACGGTGTCGACATAGCCCATGTGCGGCGTGTTCAGGACCTTGGACCGCCCGTCCTGCCCCCAGTAACCGGGCCTCCGCCAAGGGCTCTCGGCCGGCACCGGCTCGACGGGGTAGACGTCGAGCGCGGCGCCCTGGATGCGGCCCTCCTCGAGGGTCTCGACGAGCGCGGCCTCGTCCACGAGGGGTCCTCTTGAGGTGTTGACCAGGAGCGCCGTCGGCTTCATGGCGCTGAGCTCGTGCGAGCCCACGATGCCGCGCGAGCGCGGGCCGAGCACGTAGTGCAGCGTCACCACGTCCGCCGATGAGAAAAGCTCGGCCTTGTCCACGACGCGGAAGACCTTGCCCCCGCCGGCGCCCTCGTCTGGCGACAACCCCAACTCGAGCGCCTTGGCGTCCGCCTTGGCCTGCGTCAGGTTCTCGCTCCAGCAGACGACGCGCATGCCCCAGGCCAGGTGGGCGATGCGCGCCACGGCGGCGCCCAGGCGGCCCAGGCCGACGACGCCGATGGTCAGGCCGGTGAGCCCGGTCGCGAGGCCCGTCTGCCACGACGGCGGGGCACCGCCGCCCGCCCGCCGAAACGCCGCGTCGTCGGCGGCGACGTTGCGGGCCAGCGCGAGGATGAGGGCCCAGGTGTGCTGTGTGGTCGGGTGCGAGCCGCCGCTCCGGATGTCGGGCCGGCGGGGACCAGCGTGGTCGGTGCGGCCCAGCCCGGGCGCGGACGCGACGACGACGCCGCGGGAGCGGGCCGCGGCCAGGTCGAACTCCTCGAACTGGGTGCCTGTCGTGAGTAGGAGCTCGAGGTTGGGCAATCGGGCGAGCAGCGACGCAGGGAAGGCGGTGCGCTCGCGCACGCTCGAGATGGCGTTGAAGGGACTCAGACGCTCGACAAGGCGCTCCGTGGACGCGTCGTCCAGGGACAGGATCGTGTCATTGAACGTGGTCACCTCGAGCTGGGATGGCGGGATGTGCGCAAAGTGCGCGGCTGATGTGTTGAGGTAGTCGTCTATGATGGCGAGCTTGGGGGCCGCTGCACTCTGCGTGAAGCAGCGGGCCTCGCTGGGAACGAGCCGTCTGATGGCCATTCGTGCCGGGCTGAGCATCATGGCTGCTGAGGTGTGAAGAAGGAGACGGCTTCTTTGTGTTCGCGCAGCAAAATACGAGACCTGGAAAGGAGTCTTGATGTTTCTAGGGAGGGCGATGGTCAAGTGGGCCCGTCCCGGAGCTGGTAGCACAAAGCGAATATAGGTAGGAAGGCACGTCCCGAGAGAATGCTCTCGGACATTCCCTCGGGACACCGGAGCATCACGACACCACGTGAATTTCGAGGACTGGCAAGCGGCTTGGGCAACAAACTGCGTGACACGACATATCCGTATCCTCCAATGCTAGCGGGGGAAGGCTGGGCAAAGGACGTCTTGCAGGGCACTCATAAACAAGGCTGCGGAAAACGGTTGCCTTCCTGATTTGCGTGGTCTTGGCGCTCGGGCGTTCTAAATGGTTGGCATGCAATTGTTTGAACAAATCGTATAGCACAAGCAACCGCACCTCGATTAACCTCCGCCGTAGCGCCTTTTCAAGGGCATTATGGTCCTCGAACGCGCCGTGCGCAATGCCTGAAACCGGCCTGTCGTAACAGTTCTAATTTTCGCCGCCTCCGCCGCCGCCGCCGCCGCCGCCGCCTGCTGCAGCTGCGAATCGTAATCGATAAACAGGATAGCCTCGTCCGGCGCGAGGTTGCTTATATAGTAGAACCCGTACCGCTCCTGCGGCTTGAGGGCCGTGAAGTGCGTTTTGTAGTTGCCGCATCAGCGGGCGGGCACTTCGGGTGACAGTTCGTAGCGCCGCACACTGCACGAGCGCATCAGGAATAAAAAAGGCAGCGCTAGGAATTGAAGTATGAGCATCCAGGTTGGCAGGGGTTTGTTTATCAACTTTTGCCCACCCCAGCAAAGCTTGCTTGCTTATGAGGCGCGGCTGGTCGGTTGGCTATGCGCTGTGGGTTTGAAGACAGCCACAGGGGCTTTTCAGGTTGGATTGGCGCTGAAATCTGAGCCTTTTTAGGGGGCCTCGGGGGCATGCAGAAAGTTGTGCCTTCCGAATCGGGTATTTTTTTCAAGGTACAGGTATCAAGGATCAGAAACGTTAGTGCGGTGGATCAACTAGGGAGGGTAACAGGGGGAGTAAGGGTACACAACGTGCCACACAATTTACAGTAGAAATTAATGTATATTGATATGGGTGACGATTCTAGTGGGTTCTGGCAAATGGAGGTGCGGGTAGCGATACATCGATTTGGCGGGATTTTCTATGGTGAAAAATGTATTTGGGTACGTGGCTTAATTAGGAAGGATCCACCGCACTAACGTTTCTGATCCTTGATACCTATAGATTGGTCAGTCTAATGTGGGGGGCGAGCCAGGGATCGATGTCCACTGCCACCACTGGAAAGTATTGCCCAACTCTCGCCTCCTAAATAGGGAACAAGTCATGGGAATTAGTCAAGTTAGAAAGTGCACATAAAGAATTTCAGGTGTGTGTCCTTTTTCTTCCAAAGGGCAGGCAGTCCTGACCCCCGGCCAGAATTTCCAAAGCGTTCCTCGAAACTCAACATCCACTGCCAATCTTGTGGTGACAAACTCATCCTCTTCTCGTTATTACTCGGTAGAAAGCCTCCTGATGCTCCCCGTATCCGCCGGAGGCACCCCGTGCCACAGCCACAGGTCCTTGGGGCGCGCCCACTCCAGCCCGTTCCTGCTCAGGAGTTGCTTCGCCTTCTTCTTCTTGCGGTCCCGCACCAGTTTCAGCGCGTCCTCGGCGATGGCGAGCACGGAAGGCGACTCCAGCTCCTCGCCCGAGTCGTAGTCCAGCTCGTCTATGTACTCGACTTTGTGGCTGCCGTCGTCGTCGGTAGAAGACAGGGGATCGCTGCTGCTGCTGGTCTCGTGGTCTTGCCGGTTTGGGCCGGCAACGGCCGTGTTATCGTCAAAGGTGTCCGCGAGAGCGGGGATGAGGAGGGGCACAAGAGGCTTGACGAGGCCCCCAAAAAGCGCGAGCGCCTCGTCTTTCTCGCCGCGGGCGCGCATCATGTCGGCCAAGTCCAGGCGCGCCCAAAGGAGCGCGCGGTTTTCCTTCTCGCGGTCCGTGCCAAGCACGAACGCATGCAACACCTGCTCTGTAATCTCGCGCTCGCCGTCCTCGAACTGCACTAGCGCGTCCACGTGGACGTACTGGCAGTATTCCTCAAAGTACCGTATGGTGCCGTCCTCGCGTCGCAGGTGCTCCTTGACCTGGGCCAGGATCCGCGACGCTGCCCCCAGCTCTCCAAACTCGCGGTACGCGACGGCGAGCGACAGCTCCGCGTCGATGACGAGGTTGCTTCCGGGGCTGCAGCCCCCCTTGCGTGTCGCCAGCGAGTGCTCGAGCACGGCGACGGCCCGGGCGCGGCGGCCCAGCTGCCGGTAGATGGTGCCGAGGTGCTGCTCGACGTAGACGGCGAACCCGTCGTCGTCGCCGAATCTGTTCTTGCGCGTCTTGTGCACCGCCTCCATGATCTCGAGGCTCTCGTCCACGAACCCTCTCTGGAGCAGTGTGCAGGCCTGCCACATGCGGGTGGAGAGGTAGCCGTGGCTGGTAGGGCCGCCGACCTGGAGGAACCCGTGGACCGCCTCCTCCTGCGTGCGCGAGGACCTGGAGAAGTGCGTCAGGAAGTACTCGGCCTGCCCCCTGTGCATGAGCGTGGTGTACAGTTCCCTCCTATTGTCGCCGTGCAGGACCCTGCGCTGGACCTCTGCCACCTCCGAGTAGGCGGCGTACGCCTTCTCGAACTCGTCTAGGGAGATGTAGGCAAACGCAACCTCGGACCGGGCCCTGAGGGTCAGGGGGTGCTCCGCGCCCAGGATCTCGGTTAGGCCCTTCGCGACCCTTTCGCGGACATCTGCCATTTTGTCGACGACTGCGTTGAAGAAGTACCAGAAGCCAAGCTGCCTCAGCGCGAGCCACTGCAGGACTTTGTCCTTCTCCTGCCTCTCGCGGTAGGCGTCGGCCAAATCCCGATATGGCATGACGAAAAAGTCCTCCAGCCCCAGCGTACGCTGATCGGTATCCGGTAGCCGTTTCTCAAACTCGCCGAGCCGGCTGCGTGAACTACCGATTCCTGTGAAGTCGTCGTCTTGCTGAGTCCGGTACTCGCTCCAATACACAAACTGCCTCATCCGGAGGAAGTTGCCGGCCAGCTGCACGAGCTCTGGTGGCGGCTTCATCACCTTTGCCAGATGGATGGACCAGAACTGCGCCGCATAATTGTAGAACCCGTCGTTCTCCTTCTTGATGGTCACAGTCTCGTTGTTGACGGGCCCATTGTTCTGCCGAAGTATGGCTGCGATGAGATCTAGATCATCATAGTCCCCTGACGAGAGGGCGTGAAGACACTTTGCCGCCAGGAGGGCATCAGCCTCCTCCCGTGAAAATAGCAACGAGCTGTTGGTGCAAAGATGACCCGTTGAACCTTGGTGCATTATAATGAACTCTCGCGCAGAATGATGATGGAAGCAAACATGTCTCTCCTTTTCTCCCGTGATGGTCACCAAAGGTCGACACAAAGTGTAGATGTGCTCGGCAGAGTGTTCTGGGGCGAAGTCGAGCGCGGCAGTGATCATCTCGAGTGTTACCGACGTTTGCGCAGCGACAAGGAATACGAAGACCTGCCTCCGACGCTCCAGCTGAACCTCGCCAAACTTGCGTGACTTGGCCTGCCCATCGAGGGATGTCTCGTACGCAGAGATCAGCTCTTCAGGAAACTCGTTGAGAGACTGCTCTATTTGAGAATACGGAATTCCAGGTCGAGCGGCGTGGTGTAGCAACATTGTTGCCCAAAGGAACGAGGCCCCGGCTGCTGCTCTGATCCGGGTGATGGCGGCACTCTGGAAGTCCGAGGGCAGTCGCAATTCGGTATACAGACGCTTAGACACTAAAACAATGTCGTTTCCCACCAGCTCCTGAGTTATCGCTATAGAAGGCGACATGGAGATGAGGTCGTGGAATGGTGGGACAGGTCTCGCGGCTATCATAATCTTCAAGCCTGACCGTGCTGACAAAGCCACCAAGTCTTCGACGAGCTTGGCCGGCGTGTGAGGAAACAGTCTGGGCCCGGATGGGTCGCACTCGTCCAGAGCATCGATTACGACAAAAGTCGGGACCGGCTGAGCGCGAACAAGTTCTTCAAAGGCAGAGAGCGCTTCGTCATACTGAAACTTGGAGCTCCGCCCGTTACGGTGCTGCTTCACCAGGTTCAGTAGACGTTCAAGAGGGGCTTTGCAACTCTCAGGAAGCGGAGATCGTCTGCTCAGGCAAAGCAAGAGCTCGCCCACCAGTGAAGCAACCGTCCTGTAGGCAGTGTTCGATGTGGGCCCTTCTTCGGGATCGAATCGGAATGATAGCGCGTCGCCCCGTGACTTGAGTATGGCGAGGGCGAGTTGCGCTATTGCTGACTTTCCCGTGCCTGATTTTTTATGGGTTCAGTGGTTTTGCTCCTGATCACATGTGTCCTGAAGGAGTCACTCCGGTAACTCTCCCTGATCCAGGATTGGACTAGGGCGCATCTTACCTGGAAGCCCCGTCAGCCAGAACAATGTCGCCTTGTCATCCTGGAGCCAATCATTGAACTCGGGATGGTTTCTAAACCATTCCCCAGTCCCATCTGCTGGCGAATGTGCCTTGTCTCCCGGTACCATGGGGTTGGGCTCGAACGTGTCTGCCAGCCCCTGAACCGTGGCGAGCCCAGTCGTTGATCCACCTGGATACATCAAGGTCAGCAAGATGTACCGTACTGTGTGGGTACCGAGCTCTCGTTCTCATCACCAGACAACGTGAGACTTGCATTTGCCTGATTGCGGGACAGGCCGCTCCATACTTTCAACGTGCTCTGTATTCGTCTCGTGCGATCCAATGCCGGGATTGCTGTTAGCTTCGAAAACCATGTCAAGACACAGGAGCTCGCAATCAAGCGAGAATAACACTGACCCCCTGTTCCATATTTACGGTTCAGCGCTGCTTCATATTCCAAATTTTTGGTGGCAAAAAAGTTATCCTCGGGCGATATCGGTTGTCCGATGTGAGAAGCAGGATGACATTAAAAAGGTAGGCTGCTTACCGAGGTACGACATGTACAGCTGATTGACAGGTCTGTGTGTATCCATAGCTGTACGACAAGCAGGAGACCTTGAATGTCAGTCCTCAAACTTCGTGTTACGAGGTACCGCAGGGGAGAATTACCTTCTAGCAGCGCCTCGTGTCTAACACGATTCTCTGCTCGGTCTAACGTCCGGCAAGACGCCACGGTGTTAGTGCTCGGGCGCTTAGCTGCACTTGATGAGGATGCAACTAAACTAACCAACTTCCCGTTCCAGCGCGTCTCCAGCCGTCTCAATGTCCCTCTGCTTGGCTCGGAGCTTTCCTAACGGGGTAGGCCGTATGCTGTGGTCCATAAATGCAGCTGTAGGGTTGGCCACGCCGCCAAAGTCATGCGGCGTGTCGATGTATTAGCTCCATCCTTCGGGTGCCTCTACTTGGGGGCCAGGTGGCTTCTGGGGACCGGGACACACAGAACTTCTTCCACTTCGACGACAGCATCTTGGATTCCTGGATAAAGGCGAGGATGGCAACGTAGAGAGAGACCCTCGCTTTCTGGACGGGTTCAGAGCTCAGGACGGCTTCCGAATGCGACTTCCAGCCAGAGAGACCCTCGGTGATGACAGCTATACCCTTGACGACGATTTCAGCAGCTTCGCTATCGTCTTCGAGCACCCTGGAGAGCGCCAATAGCGGCTTCGTGACAATGTCCGACGGGAGCGCGGCCGTGCCGTGTAGTGGGAGCACAGCGTGGCTAGTTACCGTGACTAGGCGAAGTAAAATCCGTGGCACCCGTCCGCGACGTTTCCTCTCCAAGTACAGGGTGCTGATGCTTGTCGCAAGGACCTCGATCGTGTCGGTGGACAGGGGCTGCTGTGGATCTAGGTCGATGAACTCTTTGCTGTCCTTACCCCTAGGGAGCGAATTGTTGAACCTCTGTGGCATTGGCGTGGCAGCGTGGAAAAGATGAAGAATTAGCCAAAACAGTCGGCAGCTTGAGAACGGTCGGTGGGACAAGCATGCAAACAGGGGGACGCACCTCGACAGCGATGAGCCAGTCCTGGCCGGATTGAGCCATTTTGCTCCAGCGTGCATTTCTGACCGTTCTCTAATTAGCCCAGTGAAACATTCGTCTTGCGCGGACCTCCTACGTAGTTTGTTTCTGAACTCGAAAATGTGGCTGAACGGATTAACTATCCTTGCAGATCCTGAGTGCCAGGCCTTGCCTTTTCTCTCATTTCCATGGTTCCAAGTCCGCTGTTAAAGCCCCGACATCTACAGGTCCCAGGGATCACAAACCTTAGTACGGTGGATCCTAATAGTACATCAGTGTGGCTTGGTTTTCTAAGGAAGAAAATGTATCTTGCATCCACCGCACTAGGGTTTATGATCCCTGGGACTTATACCATCAGACTGGACGAGAGGAGGAGGCCTGTCGGCGTTTGACACAACACTGCATGGGCGTTGATGCACTTCACTTACCCCGCTTTCTCACCGGTTCGTTTTGGTCAGGCGACTGACTGCACCGCCCGAAAGTCTGGGCACATCTTCGGTACTGGTTCACCAATAGTTTGTGCAGGGCGTTTGGTGGTGGTGTAGGGAGTCGCGAAGCCGGCCCCTCGGCCGTTTTCGCTTTCGCCCGGGCACCAAAGCACCTAAACTGCATTTCTGGTGCCCATGATGGGATGTGGCGGAAAAGGCGGGTCTGCACGTCCAGTATAGAGGAGCGATGGCGTTTCATCATTAATATTTTCCATTAGATGCCCAGTCCCCCAAAATCATCCTTGGTGTTAATTATTCCTTGGTTTTCACGTGCCGATGAACCATCCACCGCATCGCCTCGACTAGATTTCTGCGTTCATAAGGATGCTACATGAGCCTTTTTTTTCACAGGGCGGCGGATAAGTGCAACAAGTGGGGGTGTTAGGTAGAAAGCCCTGCACACCATCTGGGATGGAAGTGCGTTTACATCCCTTTACCCGGCAGGCAACATTCAAGCATCTGGTTCGGGAGGGTGTTAAGGCAGAGGCAAATAGCAGCCAGCAGCCTGGCAGGTGGATCGCCCGATTATCAGCCCAGCCTTCCCACAACCACAACCAAGAGGAACATTGCTGTCATCCCTCATTCCCGTCATCCCTCGTTGCCCCGTTGGGCCTCCATTGGTACCTAGCCTCATGGATGCCACGAGGGGTTTTCCTTGATCGGGCGGAACCCTTGGGCTCCCTCGATGATGATCAGGTAGCTGGCACACCCACCTAGGAAATAATAGGCCAGATAATTAGCTGTTATAACAGAGAGACCGATCTCGATATCCTCAGGTCGCCCAGATCTTGCTTTCGATCTGTGATAATGCTTTTGGCCGTGTCACGTCCCAAAACATACACTGCTACGCCAGCCTCACCACCTCGACACCGCCACCATGTCTCCTGCAGGCTCGAGGAAGAAGAAGAAGAGCCAAAGATCCAGTAGATCGTCCCACTCAACCTTTCACCAGACAGACAACGCCGATACGCCAACCGAAGATCAGCCCGCCGATGGAAGCGGCAGTGTCGCCGCAGCAGAACCACATCCACCCATAGATACCAGCCACCACGGTGGCAACACAAGTCACAACACGGGCGGGCAGCCTGGCGGCCTGGGCGTGGTTACGGATTTTAGCCGAGCGGTGAGTGTAGGCCTCTCTTGGACAGGAGCGGCCGATCGCCACCCACATTACTGACTTCGCGTCAACCAGTGCGGCGACGCCGGGTGCCTCGCCGATAGCGTGGCGGCACTAAGAGCCCGGTACAAGCCATCACCGGAGCCAAACCTTGCAACACGCCCAAAGGAGCACAGGGAGTGGCTGCGACATTATCAGACTTGGAAAGACCCCGACTGTCCATGTGGGAAGGGCTATTGGTGCAGGGCCCACGCTGAGTGGGTGTATGGATCTGAGGTTGACCAAGGACTTGCTACCCCAAAGGACGCAAAGACTCAACGATGCCCACCGTCACATTTTACTCCTGTGGCCAACACTACGGGTACGGATACAGAGGAGACGCCCGCATCATATTCTGCAGTGCCCAGCAACAATGGGAAGGAAAAGGCGTACGCAGAAACAAGCGGCACATCCAACACCAGTGCTCGCCAAGGAGGTGGAAACTACGAGGATACCGAAGGCAGCTGATCTACCGAGCCAAGTCACGTGGATGTGGGTCGATCCTTTTAGCGACTTGGGTTGCTTGGGCTTCTGCCCCGCAGTCGTTACCCCCACTTCGGCCTGTGATCGTAACATCTCTTTGTCCAAACGCCGTGACAGTGGGGAGCCCTCCGGCGGTTCGGCCGCCGCCGTCGCCCCCGGTGGCGTGGTCCGCCATGCCCACACGGAACCACTTGGAGGCCTCGAGGTGGAGCCGCCTGACGGCGCCCATGGCGCAAATAGGGCGACGTCCAGCTCGTAGAGGAACACCCAGTAGTTCTCCTGCGTGTGGCTCGGTACCATGCCGTCGAGGATTCTCTCCCCCAGCAGGGAGACGCGAACGTCGGCCAGGCCGCCCAGGAAGGCGCGCCACGGGCCCGACGAGAGCACCTGCCGGCCGCCGTCGTCGAGCAGAGGCGGGAAGTTTTCGACGGCCAGGCTCTCGAGCGGGGCCGCGGCAAGCGCCCCGAGGACGGCGGCGGCGCGGGCGCTGTTCCGGCGGCCCAAGCCACCGTCAGCGGCCTCCTCGGGGAACGCCATGTCAAAGTAGACGCCCTCGTGCGCGCCAAAGAGGGACGGCAGGCGGACGACGATGCGGCGCAGCTGGGGCAGCAGGTCCCCGCGTCCTCGGCCCCGGCCCCGGCGGCCCCCTTGGCGTGGTCGTCCGTGCAGGAGTTGCGGTCGGCGTGGGCGCAGGTCGGGGGCGGCACGGCTACGACCAGCTCCCTTGTGTGGCGGCCGTGCCTCTGCGCGATCAGCAGCGCCGAGCGCGCGGTGGCGGGGACGGAGAAGGTGACGGACTCGAAGAGGTAGGGCTCCGCGCAGGCTCAGAGGCGCCTGCAGGTGCGCGCCAGGACGCTGCCCAGCAGCTTCGCCGGCAGGTCTGCAAGGGAGGAGGGCATTTGGAGGCCGTGTTTTCTTGCGAGCCAAGCTTGGGTGTTGCTGGTTTGCTGACAGGGAAAAAAAGGAAAAAGGGGGGGG